CCCCAAAACCCCAAAACCCCAAAACCCCAAAACCCCGCCAAGATTATATACAATTGATTTTTAAATATGAGTGAAATTTCCATCACGAGTTCTATGCTGAAGATCGAGGAGTCTACACCCAGAAGGAAACAAGACTCTTTTGTGAATGATATTAGCTTTAGTGATTTGTCAATTGATGCTAAAGCTTGCTGTCCTAAATTATGATCTCCAGATGTGGTACATGAATGAAGTAACAAAAGTCCGTTCTCAGTGACTTTTTCAGATTTAGCATCTTGCTTTAACTCAAACTCTATTAAAACTAAAAAGAGTATTCCTAAAGTTGATCGAGCATTGCCAGGTAATGAGATAGCGCAAATTTCAAAATAAAAATAGCATATTCTCATAAAAATTAGCAAAATTAGTTGTTTAAATCACTCAGAGATTCTCAAAATTTTTTGGCAAATAAAGCTAATAGGTTTCCAGTCCTACTAGCTTGTAATAAGTGCTTTTAGCTAAATTGTTCCTTTGCATACAATGATTCAAAAAGTTAAAACCTTGAAATTTCCATATCAAAAATGAAATCCTCCAGTTTAGCTTGAATTTAAGCCTTTTAACTTCCTATAAACCACCTCATAGCTTTAGAGGGTCCAAATGAAGAGACTAAGACTGGTGCTATCAAGGCACAGAACCAGACTGTCACTGATAAAGTATCTGTAATGGCTGCTAATTGGGAAAATAAGGAAAAGGAGAAGATTAAAGAAGTTAAGAGAAAAGCTGCCCATTGGAAAAATAAAATTAAAGCAATGAAGGATAAAGATAGGATTTCAGAGCTCTTGAAAGCTAAAATATTATCTCTAAAGGCTTCAAGAGATTTGAGCAGGACCTGGATTCATGTTTGATTAGATGATTTCTATGTTTCTGTAGCAATTCTCAGGCAACCTTTGTTAAAAGGAAAGCCTGTAGTTTTAAGCAGTGAAGATTCAATATAAGCAAAGTTTCAGAAGAAAGAAAGAAAAAGTATGATAACCACCTCATTCATAGCTCAGACAACTCTTTTATAGCTTCGGCTAACTCTCTAGCTTCAGAGTTTAACTTGAAACCAGGAATGCCAATTGCTTTGGCTAAACAGTTGTGCCCTGGAGTAAAAGTTGTTGATCAAAAAGACTGCAGAGATAGTGCTTCAAAGAAAGTTTCGGATAAATTCAGAGATATTTTGGTCAAATATGATAGAGATTGAGAAAGTATAGGCCTAGATGAATGCAGCCTTGATATTACTGATTATTTGTACAGAAATAACATGCACACTCTTGATTGAAAAGAACGACTTGCTCAAGAAATCAGAGAGAAGGTTTATAAAGCTACTGAACTCACTTGTAGAGCAGGAGTTGGCGCAAACAAATTACTTGCCAAGATTTGTGCGAGTGTAAGCGCTCCAGATGGATGTTATGTTCTTCCTAATGATTCAGAGCAGATAGAAGATTTTACTTCAGATCTTAATATTGATAAGATCCCTGGGATAGGTATATCTGCTAGAAGAGAACTCAATGAGCTTGGAATTTACAAAAATAGAGATATACTTGACAAAGCTTTGGAAATTTACTGTATTTATAATGAAAAGAATGTCAACAGATATTTACTAGATGCTCTGGGAATTTCAAGGAATGTTCATGATATCACGATGAAGAAACCTAGTGAAAATATTATCACTATTTCTGAGACTTTCAAGCCAATTAGAGACAAGAAAGTGCTTTATGACAAAATAAATCAGCTCTCAGCCTTGGCTGCAGATCAATGCTGAGAGAAAGGTGTTTTAGCTAAGAGAATCAAGATTGAGATTAAGAATCAGCAATATGAATCTGCAATCAAGAGGAGATCTTTGATTCATCCGATAGGAACCAAACAGCAAATTGCTAAGGAAGTTTGTTATATGGTCGATGAAATACACCCGATTGGGATAACAAGAGTCCTTACTATATATCTGAGAGATTTGGTAAAGAAAAGGTAAGATATAAATTATTTGGCTATAGTAAATATCTTCCGAAAAATAGCATCGGTGACTATTTTAAAAAACACAAAAACAAACGTGAATATTTTAAAGAAGTAAAAAAGAATTTGAAGAATGCTCCGGTTTCAAAAACTCTAATAGGTTCCAATGTATCATCAAAGCGGAATGTTGATATCCCAAAGAATGTTCCAGGATCGATCCTGTCTTTCTTCCAAAAGTCTAAATAAAAACAGTGAAATTCTAAATTTAAAGTGGGACTTTTGAAAGTCTGGGGTTTTGGGGTTTTGGGGTTTTGGGG